TTGTCTTATCTGAGGTTCTCACTCCGGTCCTCGGACCTTCCTTTGTTCTATTTTCACGGGCTTTCCCCTTCCAGGTCTTTTAGCCACCGCCATTCTGGACTCCTTTTCCCTAGTCTAACTACCTAACACAAACAAAGTAGGATGTGTGTTTTCAGTAGAATAAGGTACAAGAAGTGGAAATGTATTTTAAGGGAAGAAAAAGTAATTTTATCCCAAATTTGGTTGTTTTTCAATGTGAAAAAAAATAAGGGAAAATTAATATGAGTACAGGAAGTTTTGGAAAATTTTTGGAAAAAGAACCCTGAGAAAGAAATTTAGTGTATGATAAGGACTGGCTTGGCAACCCACTCCAGTATTCCCGCCTGGAGAATCCCCAAGGACAGAGGAACCTGGCTGGCTATAGTCCGTGGGGTTGCAAAGAGTTGGACATGACTGAACGATTAAGCACAAGGACTGGCTAAAATTAAGTTGAATTTAATTGAGTAAATGACTTTTGTTATTAAGAATAATTTGGAGCAAAATCATAATTTGATTTTCTGTCTCTGTTAAGATAACAAAGTTTTCTTGGAATGCTGATATGCTTTAGATTATGTTTCTTTACCTTTAATTATTCTGTTGTAACTTTCTGCATTTGCCTTTAAAATTTTTATTGTCATTTTGATTAAGTGAATAAGTGCTGTTTCACAATAGCCTATGATCCTTCCTGACCAAGTGTTTTAAAATCTCTTGAAGATTGTTTTGCATACTTACAAACTATTTAAAGGTCAGATTTTAATTAAATTTCTTTTGATATTTAATTAACTTTGGAATGCTTTGGAGGGGGTTCTCAAAAATGTAAAGATATATTAAATTAATTAGGGTTACATGGTATGTTAAATTGAATGGAAACACTGTTAAATGAGTGGTGCTAAACTTCATTAGGTTATATTATATGAGCAAATGTCATAATCTAAATGTTCTAAAAATTATATAATATTAAATTCTAAAATTTGTGTATGTCCTAGCATATTATCTTTCACAAATCTAGTTATTATCTTAAAGTATTATATGTCACAAAAATAACCAAATTTCTTTCTCACTTACATTGTAATCAGATCTTTCACCATGGCCTGCTAAATCTTTGTCATTTATTGACAATTATTGTTGTTTCCCATGTTTTTGCAAAAATGTTTCATTTTCAAGAATATTCATACAAAGGACTTCAAGACAATGACACATTTCTGATAAATTTTAGATCATAACACTGAATTGGGTAAGAAATTAAAGAATTCTAGTGGAAACTCTGATGACTTCATAAAAAAACTGTTGCTAAAAGATTAAGATCAAGGATGAATTACATAGGATTGTGTGAACTAATGAAGAAGGTCATAAGTTTTACGTCTTTTGCCTAAAGTATTACTGACTTAATTTTTGCTTTCTGTATATTAGGAAATCTTTCCCCTTAAACTAATTATGACTTACAGAAATTTAGTAAATTGTACTTTTATAAGTAGAATTGAGATATTTACTTTTTCTATCTATCTAATTCAGCCAGAATTTGGAAACTCTTACTGAGCATTTTTATTTTTAGTAATATAGTTAGTTTCATAAGTTCAATAAGGGTTGCTCCTTATAACAGACATAATTGGAAACATTGGTTATATTACCATGATGTTGATTGGAATATTATATTTGTGAATACCCATAAAATCAGACATGATCAAACTACTTTAAAAAACTAAAGTAAATTTATGGAACTGTGAAAACTCTTGGAAAAACTACCTGGTATCTTGTTCACAGGGTTTCCCAGCAGCCTTACCAGTTCATCACAGTAATCTACCTTTAGATGAAGATTAGATGCCCCATGACCTGAAACCCGGAGATTATGCACATTGGAAAGATATCAGATAAAAGACTTTTTACAGCCGCATTGAATGGAATCATATCAGGACTCCTCTCCTGAATAGACTGCAATTCCTGGATGAGAAGAAGAGAACATCTGAAGTAGACAGCTGACCCAAAATGCTGGACCAGGTCTGTATATGATTACCTTGATGATTGTTCCCACTTTTGCTTATAAATAAATGTATTTCTATCTTGGGATCAGTCATATGCAAGTATCAAAAACCAGTTCAACTTTAGTTTAGTGGCCAATTTCTAGTATTCCTAGGTTACCTAGGTTGATTTGTCCTCATCATTGCTCTAGTTGGATGGCCCTTTAGGAAGTTTATTTTAACAGAAGGAAGTTATAGTTCTGTTCTGATCACTGTTGATATTACTAGATAAAACCATTTTGTGTTGTTGAGTAATCATACTTGCTCTGGCCATGGCCATAAATGTGAACTTTCTTTAAAGTTACACAGACTCCATTAGAGCAAAGGGCTAAATTACAGTCAAAGAATATAACTTCCCTCTTATTAGAAGGGCCATTTCCTCAATTATGGGATGAATTTACATGGCTAACAATAAGCTATGTTCATTTAAGTTTAAAGGCCCTCATGTTGGGAATAGTTATATCATTTTAAGGGTAAACAGCCTAATAACACTAGGAAATTGAGCTGAGTGCCTGAAGAACAATGGATATATCATTACCTTTGAGAATCAGTAGTTGTTTTGGAACTGATTGAGATGACCAGGAAAATACTGGGTAGCTTTTAACAGGACCCATTGGATTTATGGAACAAACTTATGGTCTTGGCTCACCCAAGGTTGGTAGGAAGATGCACAATTGGTTTCCTTTGGGCTCAGGTTTGCTTGATTGGGCTTCCCTGGTGGCTCAGTTAGTAAAAATCTGCCTGCAATGCAGGAGACCCTGGTTTGAGTCCCTTCTTCACTGGAGAAGGGATAGGCTACCCACTCCAATATTCTTGGGCTTCCCTTGTGGCTCAGCTGGTAAAGAACCCACCTGCATTGCAGGAGGCCTGGGTTCAATCCCTGGGTTGGGACGATCCCCTGGAGAAGGGAAAGGTTACCCACTCCAGTATTCCAGCCTGGAGAATTCCAAGGACTAGTCCATGGGGCCACAAGGAGTCGGACATGACTGAGCGACTTTCACTCACTCACTCAGGTTTGCCTATGGGTAGCCTTGAAAGTGACCCTACCAATCTACTTTTAATGTAGCACACTGGGTCCAATCAGTTTTCTAGTGGTAAGGTCACTGGGCTGCAATGTTTGCTTCTTCACTTGGAATGAAGGATGTCATTAATCACTTAGAGGCTTTAACAAAATTGACTTAACAAGTTTGAATGATAGTAATCAAGCCATTAACTTGGTAAATTTGAAGTCTCCATGATGAAAAAAGTGGTCCTACAGAATCACTTGTCCCTCAACTTCCCAAGGGTGGGACTTATGCTATAATGTGTACTGAATGTTGTATCTTTAAATCTGATGAGTCTTCTAATATAACCCATCTTATGATACATAAGAAGAGTCAAATTTCTACTCTGAATGATCCTTTTCTCAGTTTAGATAAAATATTAGGAAAATAGACTTGTTAAGGAGAATCTGGCTTAAATCTTTATTAATGACATTGTTACTCTTACTGGCAATTTGGATTACTTGTGTAAGATAATAATATCTAAAAAAGTTGAACTACTGGTCACATATGTAGTTGTTTATAAATTAATGTGCATGAACACAAAGTACTTGCAAGGTAAAATTGGCATAAGTCCTGCTGGACAACTTGGAATTGACTGTCAGTCCTTCCAGACATCCAATCAATACAGCCTATATAAGAGTAAAGAAATAACTAGACTAAAAGGCCTGGCATTGAGGGACATGATTGATTCAAGACAGGAGAGCAACCATGCTGGCATCAATGGATGAAATAATTGATCAACTAATTCTTTCTATCAAGAGATTAATAATCAAAAGGGGGAATTAATGAAATAAAATTATTTTTATGACAGGAAAAGAAAAATTCTACATAAAATTTTCTCTGTCATTTAAGTGACTACCATCATTTGATAAAAAGCATGGAAGCTGAAATTTAGAGAGATTAAAGTCTGTAAGAATATTGTAATAAGAAATTAAGACACAAAATTTATACTTTGGAACCCTCCAAATCCAAAATTAATGTGTTCCCCAACTCTTCTGCACTGATTTTTTGCTCTCTTCATATTGAATCCACTTTTTATCATGTCTTCTTTTTCACATATGTTTCTTCTCATGATCCCTGGCTAAAATTTAGCTTCCAAGCACCTTGAGATCAGGGATTACATCATACTCAATTCTGCCTTTCTTTCATTAAACCCAAGGTATGACCCACAATAAGACCTTAATAAGTATCTAGAAAAAAAAAAAGAATGAGTGAATGAATTATAACATATACTAGAAATTTAACAAGTGCCTTTGCTTGCTTGAATGATAATATCACAGTTATAATTTTAGGTGTATTTTAAATGGAGAGTCCCAAACTGATAAAATGAAAAAAATAGAATACTTAGATATATATAAAATGAAAAATATTTTAAAAAATCTTTGTTGATAATAAAATTTGGGAGATTTCACAAAACATCTGAATTTAGCTTGCTTAAAAAATACTGGTAAGTTTTTAATACTTGGCCCGCATAACCCCATAGCAATAATGTGCTTGATTTGAATAGAATCTGTCCTTTATGGAGAGGATGTGCTTGCTACACATCACCACAGCTTCTTGTTCTTACACACAATGCTTTCATTGACATTAAGCCTGTGTTTGTCATTTTCTTACCTGTCTCTTCACACGTCATGAGTCTATTAACCCTTACAAAAAATATAAACCTATAAGAAATGAGTATGTTACTTCTTTATTCTGTATTTTCTTTTCTGGTAGAACTCTACACAGAAAAAAAATTTCATAATGTATACTTGAAAAGGTTTCAAAGAATCTATCTACTGGAGGACTTAGTTTTTAATACTATTTTTTTTTTACAAACATTTCACAGCTTTTACAGATTTCTTGTTTCTTTTACAAATTTATTCACATCTTTTACAAATTTCTTCTTCATTCTATTTTACCACCCCCCCCCCATCACCCATCCCAAGCAATGTATCTGTTTTAAGATTTATGTGTCTTGGGTAAAAGCAACCTTCTCTCCAAGCAAAAATTTGATTACACCCTCACGAATCTGTTTGGTCTTGATACCATAAACAATTGGGTTCATTGTAGGAGGCAGTAGCAGATAAAGGTTGGCCACAATGATGTGTATGTGGTGAGGGATACTGTGTCCTCCAAAACGGTGGGTGAAAAAAGTGAAAAAAGCTGGGACATAGGTGATCACAATAGCACAGATATGTGATGTACAGGTGCTGAAGGCTTTGTGACGAGCATCTGTGGATGACAGGCTCACCACAGCTCGCAAGATCATAGTGTAAGAGACTGCAATACAGCACATGTCAAACACACCGATGAGGAGAGCAACCATCAGACCATAAACAGCATTGACCTTGAAATTGCCACAGGACACCTTGGCCACAGACATGTGGTCACAGTAGGTGTGGGGGATGAAGTTGCCTCGGCAATAGGGCAGGCGCTTGGTAAGGAAAGTGAATGGAAAGATGAGCATCACACCCCTCAGGAAAGTGGCAAGACCAGCCTTGGCAATGACAGCACTGGTGAGGATGGTGGCATAGCGTAAGGGGTAGCAGATGGCCACATAGCGGTCCAGCGCCATGAGCATGAGCACCCCAGACTCCATCCCAGTCAACATGTGGACAAAAAACATCTGGGCCAGGCAGCCATTGAAGTCAATCTCCTTAAGGTTGAACCAGAATATGCACAGCATGTTGGGTACCGTGGTGGTGCACAGGGTGACGTCCGTGAAGGAGAGCAGGGCCAGAAAGTAGTACATGGGGCGATGCAGGGCCTCCTCATGGCCGATGAGGTAGATGAGTCCACAGTTGCCCACAACAGCAATGACGTACATGAAGCAGAATGGCAGGGAGATCCAGATGTGTGCAGTTTCCAGCCCAGGAACACCATTCAAGATAAAGAATTTCGGGGTTAGACTGGAGCTGTTGGCTCCAAACATAATGGCTGACAGGAAGAAGGCATATTACATTCTTTAAAAGTGGTCCTTTCCTAGAGAAGAAAATAACTCAGAGGTGAGCAGAGGGCTTGAAAAAAAAATGTAAAACAACAATAACCAAAATGACTTTTCAAATGACAAGTATTAATTAAGTCTCTTGGAGTCACCTTATCTAAATTCATATTCCATCTCTGGTTCTTACCTAGGATATGATATTGATGAGCTTATATTGATGAGTTTAGCCATTTTATGTCTGTTTTCTCAATATAAAATGAAAATAATAACTGTGCCAAGCTCAAAAAGTTATCAATATTGCTCAAGAAGATAATCTAAATGTTGTGCTAAAACTGTGTATAACACATAGTGAATACTCAAAAAATATTAGCAGTAATATGCTGTTGTTATCACTATTATTATCATTTCTTGCATGCATGCTAAGTTGCTTCAGTCATGTCTGACTCTGTGTAATCTATGGACTGCAGCTTACTAGGCTCCTTTATCCCTGGGATTCTCCAGGCAAGAGTACCAGAGTGGGCTGCCATGCCCTCCTCCAGTGGATCTTCCTGACCCAGGCATCAAACCTGCATCTCTTATGTCTCCTGCACTGGCAGGCAGGTTCTTTACCACCAGTGCCCCCTCACCTTACCTCAGGTGAGGTAAGGTGTGGTAAGAGTGCCCCTTATCTCAGGATAAACATCCCATGTGATCAAACATGCCCTGACTAATATAGTAAATTCAAATGGAGCTGCTTAGTTCTGCTGTAATTCAGGTGCCATTGTGCACTTTAGGACAGGAGAGGAATATGAAATTTTGAAAAACCTCAATTATATTGAGATGATTGAGAGGTGAATTTTAGATAGCAAGTGTTAGTTACTAGGAACTCCAAGATTAAAATATATTCTCATATCTTAGAAAAAAATTATAAATGTCTCAACTCTGAAATCTAGGGACATCTCATCCAGCTCAATCCCTGCAAGATCTAGCTGATTCCAGGTAGCAGGTAAGCATGTAGCAATTGGAACTTCTGCAAAGAGAATTGGCATATATGAGATTCCACCTCTGATGTCTGCCTCCTTCTAAGATAGCTCCAGGGCACTAAAGCCACAAGACTGAAAAGAAAAGACCAAGATATTAAGATATCAGAGGAGGAAAAACTTTTGGCTCTGCTCATCTAGCTTGTAAATTAAAACTGATTATGGCAAATTCTCAGGCTCCCAAACATCAACACCATATAAGTAAACAATCTATCCACACTTATTAAATCATAAACAGATGAACAGATCAACTCAGTCCCAGTTCTTTTCCCCCTACCTTCAATAAGATTTCTCTTATATCCTCCCTGCCAGATGATTTTGCTATAATATGAGCTATTTTTAAAACTTAAAATATATTTGTAAAAGGAAAATTAGATGGATATTTGAAAATATGAGAACAAAGTTTTATTGTATGCTTATTTGTAGAGACATAGACACTCAGACTCCATGATGGACTTGAGCAAGTCTCATATCTTCCTTTTTAAAATTTTTGTGACTTTTAAAGGGGGGAGGTGATAAAAGTACATAATTAGAGGTATTAGAATGGTTAAATGGAAGTTAGTCCTCCAAGTGGGGTCTAATAAGTCATTAATGTACATTACATATTATAATAATAAAAAAAATTCTCTGGTTATATGCTAAAATGTGTATATTTAACATAGATTTATCGATATCATTCTAGTTTCTAGAGATATATTCATGACTAAAATAGAAAAAACCCTCTCTGTTCATGGAGCTAATATTCCAATGGAGGCTACCTTCTACCTTCAAATTTGTATTAATACCAAGGGTATATGTTACCACCCTTATTTTATATTTGAGGAAATGCAAGTTCAAGGTAATTTGATGAAAAATGTGTCAACAAAAATTTAGAAATTGGTAAAGCCAGGTTTGTTTGACCTCGAAGCTGTGTGTTTAATCATTCTGTATCTGTTGCCTAAACTGAAGAACTGCATTAACTGCACATAACTAGCTTATTTTATGATGACAGAGGAAGAAAGAAAAAGCTTGCTCTTATTACTGTCTTAGAGAAGAGATAGAATAAATGTGTAAAATTATAGAAAGTCAGTCTTTATGTAAAGGACCTATCTGCAGCAAGAGAACTTATCTGTGTAACAGCCAGATTCCTATTCCTAGATTTTTTCACATAAACACTTTATAAAACCTGGTAGGGGAGTTGCATGAGATTTCTGCTTCCCTGGTTGCTCAGTGGTAAAGAATCCACCTGCCAATGCAGGAGACAAGGGTTCTATCCCTGGGTTGGGAAGATCTTCTGCAGACGGAAATGGCAATCCACTCCAGTATTCTTGCCTGGAGAATACCATGGACAGAGGAGCCTGGCAGACTACATCCATGGGATTTCAAAAAGAATCAGGCACCACGTAGCAACTGAACAACAGTGAGAAGATATCTACAGGGAAGCCAGTCAGGAATTCCTCTCACTACCTTGTAAGATTCAAGTCTGCTCATCAATTACTTTCCACAAAATCTATTTTCTTGGAAGCAATTTTGAGTATAGATATCTATTAATTAAGGCAAAAACTTTCGTTTTCCGTCCTTTCAAGTCCACTGTTGTCTGGAGTTCTCCATCAACAGTGAACCACGAGGTGGTTTTAAATGTATTTCACAATTAGGGGAATGCTGTTTCTTTCCTTAGTCCCCAGAGAAATAGTCATCTATTCTGCTTAGAGTAAAAAAGAAATACTGAGTTTCCAGTCAACAACATCTCAAAGAAATTGCACTTCTTGTATGAAAAACTTTATATTTGGGGAAAGTATAAGTCTTTGGGAATCTCTGAAACTCACCTTAGTGTGGGCAAAGACCAGATTCATGGGCATGACTGAGACTTCTGAGTTTCAAAGAGTTCAACAACCAGTTTCCACCTCTACATAGAATTTCTGTGTCCTTTAAGGATTACACATACTTGGGTGTTTACAGCTGATTAGATTTCCACATTGATCTATCAGGGGGCTCTGCTTAGAAAAAAATTCCTTTGAGACTTTTGAAATTATTTCTATATTTATCAACTTTTGTATTCATAATTATCAGCAGGAGAGATGTTGATAAGAGTATTAAAGTTAAATGCCTTCCCCCGGGTGTGGTTTCTGACCAATAATTCTGATAATTATAAGAATTATTTGCTTTTCAGTTATCTTGCTTTATAAAATAATGATCTAACTGTGTAATCACAAAATTTCAAAAATATACTGAAACATATTCAATGCATATAACCTCTATTGCATATATGTTCATAATATATTTCATGGAAATATATATATAATATTTATTTTATATTTTATATTTAGAGAGAGAGAGGAAGAAATTGAAAGTGACAGATACAGAAAATAAAACATATTATGTAAGAATAATAGATATATTTTGTGCCTACTTTGTGGTTTGCCCTGAGTTTATTAGATAAGCTAATAAATACACAAACCCACACATGTGACCATATTATATATGTGTGTATATATTGTGTCAAAACAGTTTTGCATTTATTTTACATTTTATTACCTGAGTTTCCCCTGTACTATTTTATTATGAAGAAGACTAATTCTGGAATGATTGGAAAGCAAATAGAAATGATTTTTGTCATTCTCAATGGTGAATGTGTAAAGATTACTGTTAAACTCAGAACAAATATTGAAATTCTCTCAATTAACCATTGAAAGTGTATCACAAAACTCCCCTGATACTGTAACTCTATCACAATATTGGCAAAAGTTTAAAATTGTATGGCTATCTTGCAGAAAAACTGAAATACTTGTATACTGAGAACTATAAAATACTGATACAGAAAATTGTAGATGATTCAGAGAAATGGAAAGATATGCTTTGCTCTTGAGTTGGAAAAATCAATATTGCTAAATGACAAAACTATCCAAGGCAACCTACAAATTCAATACAATTATTGAATTATCAATGGTGTTTTTTCAGAGAACTAGAACAAATCATTTTAAAATCTATGTGGGAACACAAAAGACTTTGAATAGCCACCGCAATCTTGAGAAAGAACAGAGCTGGAGACTGCATGCACTGAAACTTCAGGCTATACTACAAAACTATTGTCATCAAAACAGAATAGAGAGCCTGGAAATAAACCCATGCAATTATGGTCAATTAATCCACAACAGAGGAGGCAAAAACTTGCAGTGGAGAAAGACAGTATCTTAATAAATGAACAGTTTATATGTCAGTTCAGTTCAGTTCAGTCGCTCAGTCGTGTCCAACTCTTTGCAACCCCATGAACTGCCGCATGCCAGACCTCCCTGTCCATCACCAACTCGCCGAGTTTACCCAAACTCATGTCCATTGAGTCGGTGATGCCATCTAACCTCTCGTCCTCTGTTGTCCCCTTCTCCTCCTGCCTTCAGTCTTTCCAAGCATCAGAGTCTTTTCAAATGAGTCAGCTCTTTGCATCAGGTGGCCAAAATATTGGAGTTTCAGCTTCCACATCAGTCCTTCCAATGAACACCCAGGACTGATTTCCTTTAGGATGGACTGGTTGCATCTCTTTGCAGTCCAAGGGACTCTCAAGAGTCTTCTCCAACACCATGGTTCAAAAGCATCAATTCTTCTACACTCAGCTTTCTTTATAGTTTACATGTAAGAGAATAAAATAACTGGACAGTTACATGTAAGAGAATAAAAGAACATTCTCTAACACCATATACAACAGTAAACTCAAAAACACCTCTGTATTTTTTGCCTCAGTTCAGCAAGTTCTATCAGAGGCAAGGAAGTTAGCATCAAAATATCAACAATTTTATGGCATACATCAGGGAAAATAAAGCTTTAGATCTTCAGTCAAAAGGGCTTGTTTATATTTTGCCCCCGATTTAGGTGAGTTTGCTTACTCAGGCAGCATAGACAAATGAAAATCTCAGTGGGAGCAGCTGGCCACTAACTATACCATCGTGGACAGATCAGAATGTATGGTCCAATCAGAGAGAGGTTGACTAGTAAGATGGAACAGGGCTTAAGT